TCGGAAACAAAATGCATCATCGAGACCGGGAATTGTGTAGTACAGTCAGCCCCGTAGAAACATGTTGTACAAGATAGCCACCAGTAATGGCAATTTCTACATAGTTAAATGCTTATGTAATTTCTGAAAATAGAAGGAATAAAATGAAATCCTTTTGCTTTTTATCTTGTTTCTTGTCTGAACGATGAGCTAACTTTGTCATTTGAAAGTTAAACAAGTACTTCAAATGTAAATGTCGTAATTAACAGGAGACGTCCTATTCAAAAGGACCGTAAACATAAGAGGGCCCTCTCTTATAAAAACCCTCACGTTAAAGGGTTGGTTCCAGAAGAATCAATGCCCGGATTCTAAAATGCCATCGAGGAAAAATACACCCGAAGTCACATATGAAAAGGACGCAAAAAGCAAAGTTGCGCAACGAAACCCTCACGTAAAAAGGATAATACTCGAAACCAAAATGCTTCAAAGAAAAAGCATCTGAGACTACACATAGTAAAACACGAGCATAACAACATGTGCAGAATGCTCAAGCAAATGCAAAAGTCAAAAGACTTGCATGAATATTCAAACGAAAATGAGACTCAAAATGATACTTGAGCAAAAAATATATTTTTTTATGTACAAGGACGTGCCAAAACGACAAAAGTACAAAATGGGAAAAGAAAGGAAAAGCTAAATTGTAGTGCCTCCGGAACCAGGAGGAAGAGAAGTATCTGCTTCCCCGGGAAAAGTAGGTGGTTCCACCGATGGCTCAACGTTTTCCCCAGTTTGGTCCTCGGCCTCATCGCCTTACAATCCTTCTTTAGTTTTCGAAAACTCGAAATCAGAATCAGAAGAACCTGGAGCATCAGACTACGCCGAGAGTCCATTTTTTGCAGCAAACCCAAGCTCTGGGGCCTTAGCAATTTCAGCATCAACGTCAATGATACCAGTTTTGGCATCTTCCAAGGTTTTCCTCCTCATGCTATACATGTAATAAGTTTTTTTCAACAATGAGGGAAGTCGCTCGACGCTTAAGTTCTTCTTTTAGTTGAGTAACCTCGGCAGAAAGGTTTTTTCGAGCGGATCTAGCAGATTTGAGGCTGACGTCAAGCTCGTGGGCAGTTGAACTAAAGAGCCTATTATACTCGATAGTTTTCCTGTACTTCTCTTCTACCTGGGCATGTTTCGCCTCCACAGCAGCAATCTCTTCACTTTTGGAGTTCAAGGCTGCTTCCAAGTTAATCACTCTTTCAGCAAAGGCAGCCTCACGGACGGTTGCAGCAAGAACGACGTTCTGGACTTTTGTCCATTTGGCCTCATCAAATCTAACCCTCAGCTACCCAATTTCTTGGCTAAGGGTTACCATTTCTTGCTCGATTTGCTGCAAACAAGACTCTAAAACAGCGGCCTCAGTATCTCTGGTATCCAGTTCTGAGAGGCGAAAAACAGTCTAGTCCCGTTCCGCCAAAAGTTGATCCCGTTCAGAAGTAAGTTCTTCCTTCTCACGAATCAACTTTTGAAGGCACTCAGAAGCAAGAAAGTTGGCTTATAAAATAAGAAGAGGTAAAACTTAGAATACATTCGTTCAAAAGTAGAAGAAATAACAGAGGAAGGAAGGAACGTACCGTCGCGGTATTATGCATAACATTGTTCAACAAACACTCTCCCGAGAGTGTCTGAATCTTTTCCTAATCTTTTTCTGAAGCCAAAGGCTTCAGGTAATTAGCAAACTCCACCGGTCGTGATAGCAGGTTGCACCCGATAGAGACCGAAAGAGTAATGTTCCTCCTCATTTGTAGATCTTCAGAAGGAGCAGCATAATTTTGCCCCAAATTCCTATGAACTGTGGAAGAGGAACACCTTCTTCATGGTCAGGTGCAGCCGATGGGGGTGGTGTAGCAACCGCTGGTAGAAGAGTGGACGAAGATGGGAATGATGTACTAGTTGCTGGTGTTAGTGAAGGTGGAGATGAAGCTAATGAGTTGAAGAGTGAGAAGCAACCACATCAAATGCAGTGCTGGTTGTTTGATTCTCGCTAACCAAAGACGGCAAAGACCCGGTACTCAGTCCCGCAACACTAGTTACAGCAATTGGGGCTCAAAAGCGGGAGTTGGCATATTCTACTAAATCATATTCTCCCCAAAGTGCTGAGACGTCGTCTTCAGTTGGTGAAACTATCTCAACAGGTTGAGCATCCTGTTGAGATGATGAAGATCGTCGCCTTCTATGTAAAGAAGCTCCCTCATCACTAGCTTCTTCATCATCATCGATCATCATAGTGTCTACGACCGGCCCGGAAGGAGGACCAATTATCATCGCCACTGGATGACTCGGAGGCATAAATCTTTGCCCTTTTTATTCTTTTCCCTGGCCGAGGAGGAATGTCTTTTCTTTGTTTGTTTATCCTCCGATCGGGGACTCCGTAAAGAAGTATTTGCACCCGAAATAGGCCCGGAGATACCTGTTCGAGTAAGTGCTTCCTGAAGCAGTCTCGCTGCATCAGCAGGATCAGCCAGAACGTCCTCCTCGGGGATAGCAATAAAGCCGGCAGGTAGACCTAATTCCGTGAACAAGTTAGAAGGGTTCAACCAAGTTCTTCATATACAAAAATGGAAGCAAGGTAAATTAAAGTTACCATGATTTTTGGCCTTCCACCTGTATTTAAGGGCTATTTCTTTCCACGAACGAGTTTCGGGCATTGTGATGCCCAAGATCTTCTAAACCCACCATTTCAAACCTTCCACCACTTGTGGGATCCATCGAGTTGTTGAAACATGCGAAGGGTGAAGATACGACCATAGAAGAATATCTAATAAAAAGAATACTATACAAAGAACTTACGAGTGCGGTTCCAAGCAACCGAAAAGGATGAAGTCATTGATGTAATGATGTCATTGGTGGAAACTGCAATAAACCTTTATATCCACCTACGGTCGTTGTCATCATCTATGCTAGACAACAAAGAATTGCGGCCACGCTTGCAAAGGTTTATCATTCCCTCGCGGAAGATTTTGGGGAATAGAGATTCATCATATGAGTTAGGGTTAGCTCCTCTCCAGTTTCTTGGCACAAATGTCGGAGGCAGGCGATCGTCCTCCACGCTGAAGGACTTACCTATGCCAAACACGCCTGGTAGCGAAGGCAAAATTCCGCAATCATGGAATCAAGCTCTTCGCTCAAAGAAAACGCACTCAAAGTAAAGGGATATATGAAAAAATATGTAAAACCTTCCTTGGGAAGGGTCACTCGCTCCGATATATCTGGAGCAATAATTTTCAACTCATTGCAGCGGCAATCCTCCTTCACAGCAGAAATATTGAAAGGACAAATGGAAGAAGGGTACCTACTAACAACCCATGTACGAGGGTTAGCAGTAGAAAATTTCTCTTCAAAATTCTTCGAAGTACTAAGCCTTCTTGGGATGATGGAACCCACTGTTGGAGGAATGGAGTCCTCGATTTTATTCTTGATCTTTGTAGAACTAGCACGCTTAGAGGAAGAAGCCATTGGAAAAGAAAAAGGGAAAGATTTTGTGTTTGAAGAAAATTAGAAAAAGGATGGAAAACATGGATGTAAATAAGAAACTCAAGCAATTATGAAACGCAAAGGAAAAGAAAGTTGCGTATGAGTAAAATTTTGGCGGCTAAACTCATGGCCATGATTACCTCGATAATCGGTAATGTTGTGCTGAATCATAGGATAACGCGTGTTCGGGGCATTAAATGTGGAGAGACGTTCAACTGTGAGAGACCTTGAGAGACAATTATAGTAATTCCCGCCAAAAAGATATTTCTACCAACTTTCCGGCAACACAAAATTATGTCACCGAAAAGTAGGGGGACTATCTATATAAGGTAAAATATGATATGATATGTGGCTGACTAAAAGGAGGACACGTGGAATCCAAGATGGGATGACTGAGGACCGAACGCAGCCACTTTGCTTGTCACCAGAAAGGATAACGTTCATAAAGATGTATTAAATGCTCTGCGCCCGATAATATTTACTAAGGAATATTCTGCAACATTAAGAGCGACGGTCCGTTACAGAGAATTTGAAATTTATGTTCATCGTTACATCTTCATCAATGACCCTCATAATTGAAATTAAAGGAGGGCACGATCCTAGGACATTTTTCCCTAGACATAGCTATAAATATTGAGCTCAGTGACCATTGGAAAGGACACGAATTTTCTAGCTAAACTTATACTATATTCTATACTAAGTTTTATACAATTTTACTTTCTTGCCTTCTGATCTCATCATTGCTGTGCCCGAAAGCTTTGTTCCCGGAACTATCATCTCCGCTGTTTCATCTATATTTCAAGGCTAAGTATTATATATTTCTTGAATTGTTATATTATTTCAGGATCAAATTACTTCACTTGTCTAAAAACTACGTATAAATTCAACTGTACCGTTTCACGGGTTAACACTTATTTTTATCCACAATTCGGTCTCGCTGAGAGATTGAATCATGAAAATTAAAATAGTATTGTAGATTGTATTCATATGGTTTCATTCTTTCAATATATGAACTATTTTACTATTGATGTAGTCGTTGGTAATGATCCATTACTATGATGGTGAGAGAGTTGAGTGATCATATATATATATNACTATTCTGGTAGATGATGGAAAAGCAATGAAGTTAAAATCAATCTACTAAACTTTCTGAAGCAGAGCTGTTTCAACTTATTGGCAGTTTGTCAATCATACTCTCATAGTTGTAATTGATAATTAAGTGTAAGGAATGAAAAGCGATAAGCAGTCTGTGCAAGTCGTAAATTGTTGAGGTCTTTGCTTTACGACCTAGCAAATTAACTTACCCATTTCCATTTACACATTTTGTCCAGTTTTTGAAGTTAATTTGGTAACGGCATGTCTCACAATAGTAGAACTTTCCTAGAATAGTGAACATCCAAACCTCTTTCTAAGCTCCATAAGTTCAAAACCAGAAAGAAGGCATAATTTTAGTCCTAGCTACTATTGTAAAATGCAAAGGTACAAGACTCAAGTCCTTAAATTAAATGACTGATATGATCACGAACAAACAGCTTCCAGTTCTGATTATTCATGTTCCAATCTTGTGCTCCACAAAGTATACATATCTTTGTGTGTAGAATAATTGTTCAGCAGCTCAGTATTGTTCTGACAACTCAATGTTGTAGCATTGCGATCTGAGTATTTAAGATTTTGCAGAATGTAAAAGGGTTAAGGAAAATAAGTGACTAAAATCACTCTAAGCTTAGATAAAACAAATTTCTCTCCGCAACGATGTGCAAGTTAGTATTATATTGTTCAGTACACATTCTTGATGTCGACCCTAACATATAAACAATTATCATATAAGTGTGGATGTTTAAAGTAATCTAAAACTTTCGACACCATACTTCTTCACTTACCAGCTCCAAATATGCAAAAGTGGTCAACAATTTGCCGAATCATGAAGTTGGGATACATTTGCTAAGTCATGCAAAGAGAAGGCATGAAACTTAATGCAAGCGCACTGATCTATCCATATATAGATATAAACCAGTGAGATGAGTCTATAAAGTAAATATGCACAAATGTCTCATTATCAAACATTAGAAAGATTTATACTCTATTCATTGAAGGACCAACAAAGCAATCGTAAAGCTGCAATATGCAAGACCCTCAAGAAAAGGGTATATGCATAGTGGCAATGCCAAAACCTGATACAGAAAGAAAATAGAATCATCATAAGCTACAAAAGAATTACTCTTCCATACGTTCTTTGTTCTATTCTGAAAGATCACTGAAATGAAGCCACAAATTGCAAAGCGCATGTAATTACTTCAAGAAGTATACTTGGAGAAAAAAATCATTTTAAGGGGATAAGATTCTAAAGTCTGCGTATGAAACACACAAAAAGACCCATAACTACTATGACTGAATGCCAAAATTTATCTTCTAGTTGAACTGTTATTCTAATATTATAGGTGTAAGGTTCACTAAAGGGCACATTTTTGTCTTAATAAAGGACGCTAGAGAAAAATATTCAAAATAAATATAACGGAGAAAAAGATCGTCTAGTAACTTTTACTCGTCCTTTTATTATGAGACTATCAATAAATTGTATGATAGACTAATAAATCTTCAATAAGAAATGGACTTATCTAATGATATGGATGATTTTGAAACTCAAAAACTGCACCATGAAATGCACTCATCTCTGAATTATTAACCTTCAGCTTTTGAAAGTCGGTGACTTACCTGCCATGCTTTTACCAATCAGTTGGGATGAAGTCCAATCGCCTTGCAAGGATAAAAGTTACTGAGAGAGCTCTTGGTGATGGCTTTTAGATGTTGATGTAAAATGCCATAGATTCGAATATAGAAATACCATGTTCAAGCAAATACACGTGCCAATCACCCATAGTGAACTTAAGATACAGTCCACATGAAAATCTACCATAACAACATGGGAAAAAGATGAAACGATCTAAAAAAGAAATTCAAATGTATCACAACAACATATGTATCTAATTGTCCAAAATATCGAAAAAAATAAGATGTCACCAATGTCCTTTAAGTGAACAAAGAGATAATTCTCAATAGTTCTGCAACTTTTGAACTTTTTACTTTTTTTCCTTAGAATAGATTTCAAAAGCACCAAATAAATACGCAAAACAAAAGAGTTGAACCTCATGTTCAAGTCATTCATTCAGATGCAAAACCATACTTGGGGACTGATTTCAAGTTCGACTTCTTGAATGACAGTATATTATTACATCTTAAATGGAGTTATTAATCATCAGGACTGGCAACACTTAAGAAGAGTACATATATAGAATAATGTCAGTGTAGTTCTGAATGAGGTCATTAATGCATACCGAAAGAAAACAAAGTAAATACTGCTGTTTACTAATGAAGAATGATATCACGACACGTAAAATCTAATGTGTCGATGCATTAAAAATGAGTTAGAGTTGTGAGCATGAATATCTTCCCACCAATGTTCTTCTGAAATATACAATCATTTATGGGTTATATTTAGAGCCTCAAATAAATCTTCATATAACAATCATTAGTGGAGCATAAGGTGACAAAAGCACACTGATACAACTTCTAGCAGATAACCAAAGAACAAAAAACAATATTATGCTTGTTATAATGTTTAAATGTGTTCAACAATCTGATAAATCTCATGTAACTTTGGAATGAAAAGTGAAGAAGTAGAGCTCAATTTACAACAGGGAATAAACTTTCAGATTGTTGCTCAATTTATGTTAAGGTTACTTTTTATTTTTTACCCTCTTTCTCCATTCTTTTTATAATCATTTGGGGTACCACAGCTTTTAACTAAAAATTAAAACTGCAGTTTATTTACAATTCTCATTACAATTTAGCTGAAGTAAAGACTGAGCAGAGACATCATATAGAGTTTATCAATCATGTAAAGTGATATAAAAGTTTTGATATATTTTTTAATTTTTCATTTAACCTTTTGTAATTAGGTAGCTTGTTTAAGTTTAAAGTGTCTGCAATTTGCTTTCCTTCAATACCATGTAAAAAGTTGTCATTTTGAGATGGCATAGTCCTGCTAACGTTCTTTTGATGTATATGCAGTAGCAAGTGACACTTTAAATTTGCTGAGAGATGGAGCAAAGCCAGATAAATATGTGGAAGAAGTACAAAGTAAATTTTCAATGGGTTGTCTCCTATCCAAACACATCATAACATTTTTCCCTGAAGAATATAAACATAATTTTCAAATTGAATTTTTGAAGATGTCCTTTAAAGGCAATTAAGATAGTTAGAAGCATGTTTACTTCTTTATAAATCTGCATTTACATCATTATTTGAAAAAGGAAAAGACTGCAAATAGCCCTTTCACATGCAGTGCAAGGTCAGTTCATTTAGGCACATTAT